AGGACAATCTGTTGCTAGGACGCTTTGATGAGCCAACAGCAAGCAACAGAGCCTAAACAACAGATGATCGGTCAAGTTGACTCCAAATACTTGCTTCTCGACCAATTTCTGCAACCTTTCCAACTAGTGGCCTGGCGGGGGGGGGGGGGGGGGGAAGAAGGGATAGGTTTGTGTGAGGGGAAGGCGTATGCACCCTCCACTTGCATGAGTGGGGCTGCATGTGTGTGTGCCAGCCTCACGCAGCCAGGATGCGTACAAGCCGTGATCCGATAGTGCTACATCTCCCCTCCATGTTTTGTCTTCCTGGGCCTCAGGGAAGCCCCCTGGATGAAGCAGTAAGTAAGTGAGGGGAATCCCAGCACAGCTGATCATAGAAACAGCTGATCGTCAGGAGGGGAAAAAAGGAAATACCTTAAGGAGTGACTGGGCGGGGAAGAATGCAGTCAACGATGTTGGGCATGCACGCAATGTTGCGCATGTGAGATAAGGACTGACTGGGTGGGGAGGAGAGGGGCGGGGCAGCCAGGGGCACAATTTGCCGGTTCTCCGAACTGCGCAGAATCATAACAACTGATTCTATAGAACCGGTCCAAACCGGTAGAATCCCAGCCCTGGCTGTGGCCCTCAGATTGGAACCCCTGTTCTAGACCATATGAGTTTATCATTTGGCATTGAAGAAACAGACTCATCTCTATTGAAGAAGCAGTTTCATTCCCCAGTCTTCACCAAGCACTGCAAGCATTTTATTTCCTCCTTGTGTGAAACACCTCAGGCTAGAGAATTTCTCCTTTTCTCTGGTGTCTACCGGTTCTGTCCTTAGTCATATCTTCAGCTCAGTCCTTAATCCATCCTTTATCATGCTCAAGGAAGATGATGAGCAGAACTGAGGGAAGCAAATGTTTTTTATAGAGTGTAAAGCAGGGGTTTTCAAACTTGACAGCTTTAAGACTTGTAGACTTCAACTCCCAGAATTCCTCCTCCAGTCATGTTAGCTCAGGAATTCTGGGTTGAAGTCCACAAGTCTTAAAGCTGTCAAGTTTGAAGATCCTTGGTGTAAAGCAACAATGATTTACTGTATATCTATGGACATTCTCAGTCATCCAGGTCATGGTTGTCTCCAAAGGTGCTTTTTCAAAAAGGCAACTGGACTTTCTTGTTTTGTCCTTGAAGACATTTCACTTCTCATCCAAGAAGCTTCTTCAGTTGAGCTCAATACAGACTGACAATTTCTTCAGAACTGAAGAAGCTTCTTGGATGAGAAGTGAAACCTCTTCAGGAAAAAGAAAGAAAGTCTAGTTACCTTTTGAAAAAGCACCTTTGAGACCCCAGGATCCATGTGAGGGGCTGACATAGATATCTGGCTACAGGGGTGTTTACAGGCTATGTTTTTAAAAAAAGCTAAGATGGCAGCTACAATCATGCAATCAGAACTGAACACAACGCTCAGCAAGTACAGGTAGTCCTTGACTTACAATCATTCATTTAGCAACCATTTGCAGTTACTTCGGCTCTGAAAAAAAGTGGCATTACCAGTCTACATACTTATGACCATTACATCTCCACAGTCATGTGATCAAAATTCGGGCTCTTAGCAATAGGCATGTATTTATGAAGGTTGCAGCACCCTGAGGTCACATGATCTACATGAGCCATGGTGGCACAGTGGTTAAAACACAGGGTTGCAAGCTGCTGACTGCCGGCAGTTTCGGCAGTTCGATTCTGACCAGCTCAAGGCCTTCCGTCCTTCCGAGGTCAGTAAAACTAAGACCCAGATTGTTGGGGGCAATAGGCTGACTCTGTAAACCACTTAGAGAGGGCTATGTAAAGCATTGTGAAGTGGAATATAAGTCTGTGCTATTGCTATCTCTGCAATGGTGGCGCAGTGGTGAGAATGCAGCATTGCAGGCTAATTCTGTCGACTGCCAGCAGTTCGATCTTGATTGGCTCGAGGTTGACTCAGCCTTCCATCCTTCCAAGGTTGGTAAAATGAGGACCCAGATTGTTGGGGGCAACTGGCTGTAAACTGCTTAGAGCGGCCTCTAAAGCACTGAAATGTAGCAATGGAAATTCTAGTTCCAATTGTATGTCACGGGCTACCTGTATTTTGCAATCAGTTTTGGCTCACCTTAGAGGATTGCGGCAAGCATAAAATGAGGTTTGGGGAAAGAAAGCTCTGCTACTCTGAAAACCATGGAAAAATGCAAGACAGAGATCTAATACTAAATAAATTTGGACTCTTTTTGGCTTTCATTTATTTTGACCGCAATGTGAGAACGCAGTGGAACCCGCTTTTGGCTATAAATTAACATAATCCTTTGGTTACTTCTCTTTTTTGGACAATTCATCATATTTATGATTTCTTCAGGTAGAAACCCTAAGTCCAGGGCTATAGGTTTTGATGGAAGTTATTTCTGCGGATGCTCAGCTTGAGTAGAAATTTTATAAGACTGTTCAGAAGTACTGACTGTGCAAAAAAAATAATAACTAAACAAAAAATAATAAAAATGAAAAAAACCAGTTAGATCGCTGTTGTCAGCTAGGTATTATGGAAACAAGAAAAAATTGCAGTAGAATTCACTACGAAGGTAAGAACTCAGCTAAAAGGCCACTGCTATTATTTATCTGAGACCCTATTTTAAAAATACTAATAAAACAAATCAAAGTAAAACAAAATCGTAAAATACATTTCTGAGACCTTCTGAATTTTACATTTTAATTCAAAGTAGGGGGTTAATCTAATCGTATTCATTTCCAATAAATTTCTCCACTGAAAGAATCACAATCCCACTGAGAAACACTCAGCTGAGATAATTGGTTGCTAAAAAAATGAGAATTTAATTTACAAGTACGTTTCTAGAATTCCGCGTCCACATTGCTTCTTCATTCTTGAGTTATCTCTACAGTCAAATGTTAATTTCCCACAGACAGGCACCTCATTTCCTCAAAAACAGGGTTGTTTTTTTCTGTGTGTTGATGATCCACTTAGTTTTTTGTTTTTTTTAAATTGCTTACTCTGTCACAAATCTGGAAGAGTTCACATATGATTTAACTAGTTACCAGGGGTCCCCAACCCTGATGTTATGGCCTGTTGGTCGTCGGCCCCTCCGGCAGAATCAGAGGAGGAAGAGGCGGTGTGGGTTCAGCATCAGGGCAACCTGAGAGCTCTGAGGGGGAAGAGGGAATGGAGCTGGCAGAGAGAGAGAAAGACAGAGGCGGAGCCTGGGCCATCCGTCAGCCCTCAGATGAGGAGTCAACATTCCCCAGGTCTGGAGGTGGCTGATGAGGAAGAGGAGGAACAGCTGGGTCCAGTGCCTGACTCACGAATGCGCAGAAGGCAGAGGAGAGGAGAGAGCAGTGGAAATCTATGGGCTGGTTCTTGGGACGGAATAGCCACAGCTGCTAGTGATGCCCCCTGTGACTCTGGGGATAAATGGCAGGGGACGGAGATGAATAGATGTGGCAGACAACTACTCATCTCCCTGCTGGACAAAGTTGTTAGCCTGCGGTGAGAGAGAGACTTTTTGCCGGGGCTGCTGGTGCTCCTAATAAAGGAATGTTGTTTGCCTACAGAGGGTTTGTCATATTTGTGAGCTGGGTCAGTAGACCTGAGGCTATGGACTGGTACAAGTCTGTGGCCTGTTAGGAACTGGGCCATGCAAGGAAAGCTTCATCTGTGCACGCACAGGGATTGAGGTTCCACGCAAAACCATCTTCCCCACCAGTCTGTGGAAAAATTGGCTACCACCAAACTGGTCCTTGGTGTCGGAAAGATTGGGGATCGCTGGTCTATATAATTTGAGAATAAAATGGTTGCATTTCAGAGCTACATGGTTAGAAAAAGTTAAAGTAAAACAGAAAAAGTATGCTATGAACACCCCTGACATCGAGTGGGTTTAACATCTTGATTAAAAATGTTAAAATTATAATAGCAAATTATACATGGTTATTTGAATATTTTATTTATTAAGCAAATTTATATAACTCACATGGATGTGATTCTAGGTGATTTAACAACATTTTTAAAAAATCCACCCTATAATAAAACACATTTTAAAAAACCCTTCACCTCCTCCCATAGCAATAAAACACAAATAAACCAGCCAGTTGAACTCCATTCATAGTCCCCAGACCTGCTGATAAAACCAAATTTTTAGGGTCTTCCAAAAAGCAACAAGATAAGGGCCAACTATGTCTCCGGTTGAATATGTTCCATAAAGGAGAGGCCACCACTGAGAAGGCCCTTATACAATATACAGTACTATTTGGATATCCCAAAGAAAGAACAGAGGGTAAAATGGAATAAAAACTCAAATCTCCAGTAAACAAAATATCAACATTCTCTACTTATAGATTGACAATTATAATTGATTCAGTTAAAGGTATGTTTTTAATTTGGGCACAAATCCATCTTTTTAGAAATAAATTGGTATCTCCAACTGAAACACGGTGCTCATTATATAGTGGCAGTTCACCAAACATGACCATTCCTACAATGGTTCTATTTTGCATGCATGTTAATTCACAATATTAATTGTTCATTGGAAAACTCATTTGTATGTTGTTTTAAACTAAAGACCAATGATTTGAAGACAGAAAGGAGGAGAAATGAAATGAATACTGCTTGTTCTCCAAGACCGGAAACCAGTAACACAAAGGATGGAAACAAATTGTTATGAACTAACAAAAACCATTTAATAAAACTTATTAACATTATG